AATCACGTATATATCTGATTTTGTATTTTCGGGTAGGGGCCGTGCGAGCCGCACACACGCCCAACCCGCGCCACCAATCACCAGGTCCTGGCCGGTGATTGCCCGCTGGCACACAGTAATTACCGAGGATCTCTGAGGGGGAGGAGGACTGCTTTGTTTACCAACTGTCATCCTTCCTGTCGGCTCAGTGCACAGCCATCCAGAGCAGTGTGCTTACAGTGAAGCACCAACACACCACTCCCAGCACAGTTAACCCTTTGATCGCTCCTCATGTTAACCTCTTCCTGCCCAGTGGCATTAATACAGTGTAAGTGCTTTTTTTAAAGGTTTTTTTTTTTTTTTTTTTTTTAGCACGGATCACTGTATTTGTGTCACTTGGAATGTCAGTGACAGCAAGTCAGTTCCCCCCAGTGTTAGAACGCCCACCGCAGTCCCACTATAAGTTGCTAATCGCTGACATTTTGGTGTAGATGCCAGACGAAATTAGATTTTTAAAAATTTTTCCACTGGACATGTTTAATAGCAAGAAGTCAAAAATGTTCTCAAAAGTGTCAGTCTTTTTATAGCCCAAAAAAAAAAAACCACAAAAAAAACACCCAGGTGATCAAATACCACCAAAAGAAAGCTCAATTCGTGGGAAAAAAAAAAACGACATAAAACTTCATTTGGGTGCAGCGTTGCATGACTGCACAATTGTCAGTTAAAGTAACGCAAAAAATGGCCTGGTCGGGGGGGGGGGGGGGGGGGGGGGTAAATCCTCAGGAGGGTAAGTGGTGAGTTTGACATGTTTACTTTGCACAAACTTCTTTTATATTTTACCAGACTGCGTAGTTTAACAAGTTTGTGTGCCCTAAACTTAACAGTGTATTTTATACTGAAATTTTCAGTTTCCCACATTGTGAGACAAAATTGGGACTGCCACTATTTTATTCTCTAGGGTGTGTTTTCAGAAAATAGGTATTGAAGCTTTCATGTATTCTTCAGGCCTAAAATGACTTACTTTTTTTTTTAAAAAACCTGGTGTACAAAAAACAAAAGCGCTCTGCCAGAAAAAACCGGTTAATGGTGACTGGCAGGAATCCCCCCCCCTTCAATTAAGGTACAGCACAGATACTGAATATTTGGTATAGCTACCAGTGACCAGTTCCCTTGCCATCACAGGTTATATGCGCTTGTAGATTAAAAAAAAAAAAAAAAAAAAAGGTTAAAATAGAAAAAATGATGCCTAAATCTATATAACATAGTTAAACCCAAGCATAGACTAGACTAATTCTTTTTTTCACAAAGTCCCCACAGTTTTTAAAGTGTATCTAGCAAAAACCAAAGTACACCTTGTAGCTCAGGTCAGTTATATTCTCTTTACCAGAGAGTTATGCTGAGATACCTGGACCAAATGTATCTAATAAAAAGGTTACTACTGCTTTTCTACTCAACCTCATACAAGCTATTGCTTACTGCTGATCAGTTAATGGAGTAACAATTTTTTGCTCCTCCTCCTTTATAAACAAGGCACAAAAGTTGACTCTGCTTGATTTCACTTCCCATAGATCCCCAATTTAACCAGACCTGGTGGACTCAGTTTTTCTGGTATGCCTATGAAAAATGTATGTCCAGCCAAAATTTTTTTCTTTTTTGGATACAGCGAGATAGGGTTAGAAATGCGGTCTGATATTTACTGCTATCCAATACTCCATTAGAAATATCTCCATACAGCAACACAGACAGAAATTAAACATTACATTTTCTTATCACTGTATGGGAAGACTAGAACATCTTCCATCTTTATGTCTCCTTGTTACTTCTGCTCCTGTTTGTGAAACCCCTGTTCCTGTGACACAAAGTGGGGGGGATTCTTTCCAGTGAAGCTCTGGAATGTAGGGATGCACCGATGCCAATACAGAGTATTGTCATGAATGCTCATACTTATGCAAATGCTCTCAATACCCAAACTGATACCTTGGTGTGATTTGCATCAATACACAATGTATAGACGCAAAATGGCATCACACAGAATAGCATGCAATTTGAACAGGAATGCTATTCCTGTCCAAACCGCCTGCAGTTTCCCCACTGCTCCTGTATGAACCCAGGCTTGTCTTAGTCTGAAATCACACAGGAGTGGTGCAGGAAACCTACCTGTACTGATCCCATGATGAGTGGAGAGTGAGAGAGAGAAGAGCGTGTGGGGATGTATACAGGCGGAGGATGAAGTCAGATGCTCCAGATTCTTAGCTGTAGGAGAGCAGATAAAGCCGTGGGGATGTGAAATCATGACTTTCTCTCCTCTCCTTGCAGGGATGACTGTACGGGCTAGACAAATTCTGACTGGTGAGCACAGTCACTGTGCAGGCTAACCAGACGCCATTTAGCCCATACGGTCATCTCTGCACTGGGAGGAGAGAAAGCCGGGGGGATTTCAAATCCCTGCTTTTTCTCCTCTCCTTGCAGGGACGACAGTACGGGCTAGATGGCTTCTGATTGGTCAGCAACATGACTGAGCTGACCAATCAAAAGTCGTTTGGCCTATACTGTCATCCCTGCAAGGAGAGGAGAAAAGCCATGCAGATTTCAAATTCTGCATCCCTCTTTCCTCTCAAACAGCTGAAAGTCCTGAGCATCTGCCTCCATCCTCCGATAGCCAACACCAGTGTATACATCCCCACATGACCTTCTCAGCATGGGATCGGTGAAGGGAGGTTTCCTGCACTGCTCCTGTGTGAACTCAAGCTACGACATGCCTGGGTTCAAACAGGAGCAGTGGGGAAACCGTATGCAATTTGGACAAGAAAAGCATTTTCAAATCATATGCTACTGTTTGCGGTGCAATTTGGATCCATACATTTTGTATTGACACAAATTTCACCGTAAAGTATCGATACTTGGTATCGGCGAGTACTTGGCCAACAGGATCAGTATTCATACTCGCCGATCAAAAAAATAATATTGGTGCAACTCTACTAGAATGCACTAAAACCAGTCAGGGGTTTTGAACCCTTTTTCACTATCCATACCAAGGAAAAAAATTTTGCTAGACACATTAAAATAATAATGCCAAAACGACAAAAAGTTACACACAAGACCGCTTGATCATTTTTCTTTTAAGCAAAGGCATCGCTGCTACAAATGTTATTTTCCACAGAGCAGTTCTAGAAGTGCTGGAAAATACATACCCTACAAATAATGTGAAAAATGTGACCAAGCGCCAAATTTTAGAGTAGGTAGTTTAACCCCTGGACAACATACATGCCAATTCAAGGACTGTCAGTTCAGCTTCAGCACCCCAGAACTTGTGTATGACCTAGGAAGTTAGCACATTCTCTTTCAGGTTTCTACACACAGGTTTTCTACTTTTTCCTAAAAGTTTGATTTAGGATTACATTTCTTACCCCCCCGGTCGCATTGGGTGCGACTTGGCATGCGATTTGCATGCCATGCGACATGCAAATTGTATGCCAAGTCGCACCCTATTAGCTATTAGAGCGGTCATATCAGTGAGTTTCCGCCACATCGATTTCTAAAGTAGTGCATGCACTCCTGTGGTGCGATTTGCATAGACATCTGTGTCAGAGGTCTTGCAAATCGCACCTCAAATCGGCAAGTCACCTGACTTTGAAATCATGCAACTTCACTGTAAATCAGCTTTGATGTGACCGGACAGTTCTACTGTTAACACGCAGGCCATGTTATACAACAGCCTAGACATTTAGGGCCTGCAGCTAAGCACTCTATCAATGTGCATTTGCAGGCCTCAGTCTCTGTATATTATACTCTCACTGCCACAACTCAAATGTTAAGTATAGTTGCCAATCATCTATCCCAGTCAGATGTGGCAGGTTATATCCACTACCAGAAAGGCAGTCTTCTGCCAAGTTGGGTGACCTAATTTGTGCATGTATGGCTTGCCAAATATCTCAGAAAAGCTGCCACTGCTTTTATTTTTTTTATGCTGAACTTCAATGTGTTTTATAAGAAGATTATACTGTTTAATGCAATAATTTTTCCCCAAAACAAGACAGACTGGTTTACGCACATGGCAGCAAAGAAACGTTCAGTGGTAACAGGTCATCAAAAAGTCTAAATAACAAGACGCACAACTGTAGTCTTCTCTATATTTGAAAGTAAATGAAGTCATACAATTCACCACCCTCTTTTTGTAGAAGAGAAACAATGGCAATGGGTCAGGTCACTATTGGGTTTAGCCCACACCAACTTTAAATTCAACCAAATGAACTCCGTCAAGATGGCACACACCAGTATAACAGAAGTTTGACCAATCACATCCCAGTCTTGGCTGAAAGAGGGGGGGGGAAAGGGGATACATCCACTTTAAAAAGGTACTTAAAACCTGAGACAGGCATTTATGAAGTCCTGCTCTTTGGGGCTATCTGAATGTATTTTCCCAAACTAAATTTGCAGGCATTAAAAAGAAGAAAAGAAAAAAAAAAAAAAAAAGAAAAAAAAAAAAAGTTGGGTGGCACCATCTGGTGACCCATGGATGCGCATTTTCCTTTATAGTAATCTAAAGGCTTTTGTTTTATTACAATATGCCTCAAAGTTCACCATTTTGCTTTGAAGAATATATTATTCCAGCAAAGTCCGAGGCATGAGATCCACTTGGCAGGGCGCTGATAGAATGATAACACTACTTGAAAATGTAATGGATCACAGCAATCAAAGTTGTTAATCCTGGCTTTGCTTTTTCTTTCCTTTGAGTTCAAGTAGCACACAATGTTGGACTGCTGAGCTCATGCACACAGCTACCAAAATGGAATGTGGGGTATACGCTATGCACATAAGGGTTCAGAAATGATCAGGAGAAAAAAAAAAAAAAAAAAAAAAATCAAAACCTAAAGGGTGATATATCAATGCTATTATTCATAAAAACCTTGTTTAGTAATAAAAAAAAATTGCTTTGTTTAAATATGAATATTAAAGTCTGCTTCTCGTGGTTAGGAAAAAGTCTGTGTTTGTTTCACTTTTGAAAAGCAGATTTTCTTCTACTACAACTCCATGTCCTGGGCTTCATCTTCCGAGAAGTCAGACATTGAGCTTTCAGACGAGCTGTCCCCAGTGCGCTCTTCTTGTTCTTTAAGAGCCTCTTCTGTTGCATATTTCTGGATGTATTCTAAAGTGGCAGAAACAAAGTGTTAATTCTAGGAATTTGCTCACTCAGGGGAAAAAAACAAAAAAAAAAAAACCCTACAAAAGAACACCCAACAACTGCAACCAAGACAATCTCCTTTACCCATACTTGCCAATATTCTGAGGCCTTATAGCACAAAGTAAAAAGAGCACAACCTCTGCCATGCAACCAGTTGCACAGGTTATAAAGAACTCGCGCATAGCTTCATTTTGGACACTTAAGAAAAACTTCTGAGAGTTTGGGGATTTTTCTTTATTTAAAAAAAAAAAAAGGATAACATTCACCTTTGGGGACATGTTACATGTTTCACCCTTCTTGGGGTGGAACATGCAAGGTGTTCCAGCTTCTGCAGTTCTCCCCATGATTACACCCTCTTCCCCATGACAGCAGCTGGGGAATCTTCTCCCCGCACCCACTGTCATAATTTAAAAAAATAAAAATAAAATAAATAGATCACACCCATGTCATTCAGAGTCCTGTGAATGAATTCCTACAAGTACAGTCATCCTTTGTGGCTGATGGCTTGTAGTTCTCAATTAACTGGGAGGGCGCTGGTAAGCAGTCTCCTAGTTCATGGATTCTTCCTGGGCTGAAGTAACTGCCTGCCTGTCGAAGGTACATGAAGACAGCTGCAGAGAAATTTAATCTCCAAACATGGAAAGGTTTCTTCACAGTGAGCTATGAAAATGTGGAATAGACTCCCTCAAGAGTTGGTTCTGGCCAGCTCAGTGGATTGCTTCAAAGGCCTGGATTGTTTTTTTAGATACACAGAATATAACTGGATACTAACATTTATAGGTAAAGTTGATCCAGGGAATATCCGATTGCCTCTCGGGGGATCAGGAAGGAATTTTTTTCCCCAACAGGAGCAAATTGGACCGTGCTCTTCTGGGTTTTTTTTTTGCCTTCCTCTGGATCAACTGTGGGTATAGCATTATAACCTTTTTTTTTTTTAATGGTTGAACTGGATAGACTTTTGTCTTTTTTCAGCCAGACTAACTATGTAACTATGTACACAGACAGGCTGCAGGAACCTGACATTGCACCTGTGATCTGCTGATTGTAGGTGCAATGCTTTACAGGCACCTAAGAAAAAAAAAAAAAATAGTAAATGCACATTTTTCACCTGCAAAAAAAAGTGCATTTTTATTTTTTTTGAAAGGTGAACTTATCCCTTAACTGATGAGTGCAATGTTCAACACAAGGTACCACCAGCCTGAAAATGGGCATAAGAAAAAAAAAAAAAAAAAAAAAAAAAAAAAAAAAAAAGGTAATACTGACATAGGTAAGCGTACTTGTTTGTGTACACCAATTTCTGCAGTACTTGATTCTTAAGATAGAACATTGCCACTTTCTTGCAGGGACGGGTGAGGGTTTTCCCTTTAAGCACTGCTACATTACGATTTCAAGGGTTAAATGATAGGTCTGGGGGAAGAAGGAAGAGGTTTGCTTGCTTACTTACTGTAACCTGGCTCCATTTCCCTGCTCAGTGAGCACCATGTGCCCCTTCATACTGGCAACCAGTGTGAAAAATTCTCTTACAGATTGTTGGTTGAGTGCTTACTTATTTAGAAGAGGGGCTCCACTTGTCACATGCAACTAGTTCTGTTTAGTGATATCAGCTTTGGAGCTATGTGGACAACATCAGGGGAGATATTAATCCACCACTGACCTTAGGAGAAAATTCAGGCTCCACAGAATCCTGGTTGAGAAAAGATCTCCTAATCCAACTTTGAACCGAACCCTAACCCGCACTGCCTTCGCTCTTAAGATAACCAATACCAATTTGTAGATCCTAAAATGATCAGGTTCTGAGATGGTGAATGAATAAATGATGAACCTGTGACACCTGTCTGCTCAGCTTGCTTCGTCATAGTAAAAGGAAACACAGAACTACAGTATTACTTGAGCACCATTCTTCTATATTGCACCTTTACTATGCACTGGTCAGTTGCAGCTTAGTATGAATTTACAAATAACTTTATGAAATGTATAGCCGATTTTAATCTGTAACTCACTATTTTTCCATTGCATTTAAATTTTTTTTTTTTATTTGTACGTTACCATTTTAATCTTATTTCTAATATTTTGAGCTATATATTATAGCTGTAGTGTACAAGTAACCACTACCCAACTAAAAGATTTTACCTTTAATTTTTTGTTTGTACTCCTCTGGTCGATGCAGATACATAGCTGCTGCATCTCCATTAAGTGGATCTATTGGGTTTGGATAGGCCAGCAGCTGGGGCAGAAAAGACTCAAATATATTGGTGAGATCTGCAAAAAAAAAAAACAAAACAAAAAAAAAAAAAAACAACACCAGCATTAACAGCATGTTAAGTTTTGTACACAACCATTTTCCTAGTATCTGTACAAGAGAATACCAACTACAGAACTATTTAACTTAATTTGGGGGAAAAAATATTTCTGGTGTGCGCGAATGACCATTGGACTTTAGGTGATGCAATCTAACCCATGCACGCTTTCAGCATAACAAGATACCAGGCTCTCGATCCCCAACCTGAACTGGCACACCTTGGCACAAGGCCCTCTTTTCAGAAACTGCATCAGACCAAGTCACTTACAAAGTGTGCCTGTAGGGTTGAAATATGCAAGTTGCCATAGTTCACTTTTCTTTTACGTGCAGGCTCTGGGGCTGTCATGCTGATCCTGACGTTCCTACCCTGTGAGCCACAGACCTGGCAAGAGCATGCCACTAGTGAAGACTGCATGCTTGTTCCAGGTTAGGGATTCACTGGATAATGAAGCTGAAGCCAGGAAAAGATGACAGCTCTGGATCCTGCACTTTGGAAACAAGACAAAAATGGCAGGCCCCATTATTCCAGCCTCATATGTTCAAATGTCACTGTAGACTAACATCCTAGACATACCATAGTAGAAATGTTAACCAAGCCTACCAAACATTCACTGGTATCAAAGACATAGTAGAACTACTAGAAACCATAAACCAGCTCTAATATTTAAAAATATACAGTGACAAGTCATGCACCACCATTGCATTCTAGAAAGGGGTTTAAAATTTACCATATATGCCACAAAATAAAATTAAATTAAGGTATAGCAGAGGTAAGATGGGTGGACATAAAAACACAAATAAATGCTAATTTTATCCTAAAACCTTACTTTTAAAGTTTAAAAAGCGTATTTTTTAAATTCTCAAAGTCTGACAAAAATGACTATAATGTTTTACCATCAAGTTTAATATTGTACTGAAATAGGAAGACAAACAAACAATCAGCATTGTCTATACAGTTCCTCCAACCTGTAACACACACACACACAATGCTCCTTAACTCTATAGACAATGGGCTGCCTATAGGACAGACAGATTCTCAAGTAGCCCATTATAGCCTATAGAGCAGACTAGCACATTCCAATTACTGCACTATGCCAGCTAGAAAGACATTCCATATTCCAATTACTGCACTATGCCAGCCAGAAAGACATTCCACAAAGAATGCCATGGCAATGTAGGCTATTGGCACCTAAAAAGAGGAAGCAATTGATCTGAGGTTTGTTACTTATTACCTATGGAGATGGAAAGAGCAAAAGGGAGGCCACATGAATAAAAAGTTTTATGCAAATCCAGCTCCAGTTTAAACACTCTTACCCATTTATCCTGCATTACAACTAGTAGACCTTGTTAAATGCTACAGTCCTGACCTGGTTGAAAAACAAGCAAACAATCTATGGTCTCACAGCTCTCAGAAAACACAGAACACAAAGACTGGAAGGCATTAACAACCTAGGACGATTGCCTATTCTGCTAAAAAGATAGGTACTTTATGAAAATAGAACTATTCTTATTGAGTATTTAGGAATTTCACGCGGCTCCAATTCCAAATCATCCAGCCTCCTAAGCCATCCAAAGAGGTTTTGAAGACATAAGTCACCTAATCCCCTAGGAGGAAATTAATATGCTATTTGCATAAGCAACAAATCCTGAAGGGAATATGGCACTCATCAAAGGAGGTTTATTGCTGCAGAAAATGAGACGCCACAAACAGGCGCAGAAGACCCCAAACAGCCAAATTAGAGTGTCATTTCTCAGGAGGAATATAAACTCACCAATTATAAAAGGAACTTTTATAAAGGAAAATAAGCCTCATTGGACACATACCATTTGTACATAGTACAGCAATCACCTGCTCTAAATATGCCTCCTCCTAAACCGGCTTGATTTTGGTGCAATAAAGACAGTGAAAAACACAATGTCACCTGGGCAGCTCTTTCAAATGGAGGGGGCCTCAGAGCTGCCTAACATGGCTAAATGATGGGGGTTTATTGTAAGAAAACCAAATCAATCAGCAGGGTTCAATTAAAAAAAAAAAAAAAAAAAAAAAAAAACCACACACACACACGCAACCTTTATAGAATAGTCAGCCTCTCAAACTATAATTTGAGTATTGGGCGAAGAGTTTAGATTTAACAAGTAACCTTTTTCTTGAACCCTAGGCTCCATTCACACAGACATTTAGCCATGCTGCATCAGCAATCGGCTTAATCCTGGGACTGGGATTCACAGCTGTGTGCAGAAAGTTGTGGCAACCGAGCCCATACAGTGCAATGACAGGCTGTCAGCAGCTGCAGCTATTCGTAACAGTTTATACAAGCCAGCGATTAACTGCTGTGTATGTGGCTGAACGCCCATGCAAATGGAGTCCTATTTCCAATTGTGCTCTAAATGCTCATGCAAATGGAGCCTTATTCTGCTGTCAAAAGAGACATGTTTTGAAGATCGCAGCAGAAATTTAGAGAGGGTGCAGATTTACCCACTTACTGCACCCCATCTAGCTGGCATTTCTTAGATGTCCTTTCACAAAGATGGATAACATGCTTTTTTTGGTCTGCTCTGCAAGTATCGTTTTTGTTTACCACTACTAGTGCTAGGTTAACACCATCAGTGTGACTTTATCACCCCTTATAATAAAATCAATTTACAACTATTAACACAAGTTATCAGGAACTAAATCACACCTTCATTCTGGTGATAGCTATAAGCAGAGCCAGCCACTGACTGTTCAAATCTCGGCCAGTTCAGCAGGGACTGGCTGAGATTCGGACCATGTATGGGCAGGCTGATTGTACCAAAGTTGATCGATCTAACAACTTCTGTACACCCAGCCTGTCAGGTTTTACAAGCAATTATTGCTAGTGGCTATTATAGCCTCTAGTACTAATCACCGTGTTCTCCTGGTAGGGATGGGAGAACACAATGGCTCTGCGGGAGGGATTCCTTTATCAACACTGACTGTGTTGATGGGGGAATCATGCGATTTTCCTTCCTTCAACCCACGGTGGATAGAAAATTGCACAGTCTATGGAGGAAACCAGGAGAAAATAAGTCATCTGAGGAGTTGTCCAAACCCTTCCTGAGCTAAAAATAATCATTTATGAGGAAATAAGGTGTTGAACAGTTCAATAATGCTTTTATGTGGAGAAATAAGGATTACATAGCTTTGTGTCATTTGTGTTTGTAAATTAAACATTTTTAGGAGAAAATGATCATGAGATTAGAGAAGCAGGGCCAAACCTCTTGGCTCTACTTCTATAGATCACAGGAGTGCACTTTGTTCTGCACTCCTGTGACCCTTTTTCAGCTGACAGAGGGCTAAAGCCCACTGTTGGCTGACATCACTGGGTCAGTCAGGGCTCTGGAGATATCCCAACATTAATGGAGATCCCTGCCCAGCAGCTGGCTCAGCCTCTATTGAGCCACTGAGAGCCTAAGCCAGTCAGTCCTGCCCTTGCCCACTCCTTGGTGCTCCAGCGAGGTCTGGAATGGCAGAGCAAAGAACCAGTGATTGACAGTCACCACTATCAGTGATCAGCAGTCTCTGCTCAGTTCTTGGGCGCTGGGGGGGACAGATACCGCATACATTTAGGTGATAACTTCGTTCTTTACCCATCGCTGCTTAAAAGAGGTTCAAGAATCTAAAAACAAAACAAAACAAAAAAAAAAAACCTCTCAATTGGTGAACGGAGATTGGACTGTTGGAACTGAAAACCCAGAGGCAAACAAAAATACATAAACTAGAACCACCCTACCTTACCATCTGGGAATGTTTTGTTTCTTTTAAAGGGACCCCTTGAGTATAAAAAGGATGTATATGCACACTTTATGATAAACGTCACAAGGAACTCACCATAAAGAGCTGTCCAGGTTTGATTGATGACATCTAGACACACTGTACCTGACCTGTGGAGAGATAGGTGCTCTTAAAAATAAAAATGACAATGTACTCATTCCTTTTTCACAGAAAGTGAGGTTACTATCATATCGCAAATAAATTATACTTAGAAAGCACCACTCGGAATTTTACACAACTGAAATATTGTGTTCATGCATATTTAATAGTCCCATATAATATACATTGCTAGGAACTCTATAGCTAGAACAACAATTGTAGCATTGAATAGAATACTTCGTTATCTTGCCTTACCAGCTGCACTTTAACCAGACTTATCATTCTTGGAATTTACAGGATATTGCATTACTGCTCCTCAGTTGGCTGAGATTACTGCATTGTCTGAGATACAAATTTGCTGCTAAAAAATGAAAAATGTGAAACTTACGCTTCATCGATATTGGGATGAAATATTTTGTTCATAAATCCTAAAAGTAAGAGCAAATACCAATTAGAAAAACTCTGTTGACCAATAACATGCCTAAGAGCAGCATACATTAACCCCTTGTCTGCGAAGATATTTATAAATGCCCTGGTATTCAAGGGGTTAAAGAAGCTCTGCAGTGAGCTTGGAATTTATTTATTTTATAGAGTCAGCGTTGGGCTTTCAGGTAATATTAATCTGGTTGTCTCAATCACTTTTACAAGGCTCTGAAGGTATATTCCCCCCCCATCCCCCACCATCTGTAGACTGTGGAAAAAACTCTAACTTTGAGCACAGGAGATGTTTCCTTATGGCACCTGTGACTAGTGAACCCATACGAGACCTGACTTATGTTACCGGGGTTCAGAGTGGTCATTCCCTTGCTACTGCAACCAGGCTAGCAGCTTATCAAGCATGATCTGTACTTTTGATTTAGCAGCAGTGAAAGCCAGGGGAGACATAAGGGGACCCTGGTGTCTCCATAAAGAAGACCTGTCACCTGCCCATGCCATCAAATAGGGTGCCTATTGGTCCCCATGTGATAACAATAAGTTAAAATAAAAAAAAAGTGTTGAAGAATTTCAGGCATAGTATATTTTTCCCAATTTGGACTAAATAACTATGCATATACCATACCTGCCCAAAGTCCCTGGAAGCTGTAAATCACAGAAGCAGACACCACTACTCCAGTGATCTCCACTTGCTTCTGGGTCTCATGCTGAACGGCCAAGCATGATGCATTGTGAACACAGGAGGTTGGCTGCTGAGCATGGGTGCCAGCCAAAGAAAGTTTTGTACCTTCTGAATGAATACAAGGTGTTTTCTGATTAAACAAGGTGAAGAGCAAGACATCTCTGCCCTGCCTTTCACCCCATCCAGGTCAGAGAAAGCTTTGCATTCATACATAAAATACAAAGCACTCTGAATGGCGCCCTTGCTGAGTGGCTGATCTATGCATCAGGCCAGCTGCTTAGCACAAGACTTAGAAGCAAGTGGAGTTCAATGAAGTAGTGGTGTCTGCTTCAGATTTCCAGCTACCAGGAACATTGGCCAGGAATAGCATGTACATATTTACATAGTTAACCATTAAAAAAAAAGAAAAGAAAAGAAAAGAAAAAGATATCCCTGTGCAGACTCCAATACAAGTTCAACTCAAACCATAACCTATAAAACACTCTGAAGAATTTTGGTTATTTTTAACAATTTCAAGTGCACACCATTTTAAGGTTTGACATGTATTTACTTGATGCAACCTTATCTTATATTAAAAAAAAAAAAAAAAAAAAAAAGTAGTTATATTTTTTTTGCTGCAGTAAAATTCATTTTAGTGTATTTTTTCCTGAAAATAAGCATTTGCGCAAATATCATGTAACTGCCACTATTTGCCAGGGTTGGCTTTCAAAAATTTTTGATAGCCATAAAAATTGTTGGGGCGTTTAAAAATAATTCTAGCCAAAAAGGTAAAAAAATTCCCTGGTTTGTTTTTTTCCCCCTCATTTATACAGTATCTCACAGAAGTGAGTTCACCTCTCACAATTGTGTAAATCTATTATATCTTTTCATGTGAAGAAATGACACTTTGTTACAATGTAAAGTAGTGAGTGTACAGTTTGTATAACAGTGTAAATTTGCTGTCCTCTCAAAATAACTCACACAGCCATTAATGTCTAAACCGCTGGCAACAAAAGTGAGTACACCCCTAAGTGAAAGTCCAAATTGGGTCCAAAGTGTCAATATTGTGTGTGGCCACCATTATTTCCAGCACTGCCTTAACCACTAGCCTACATGGCACTTATACCCCCTTCCTGCCCAGGCCAATTTCCAGCTTTCAGCACTGTTGCACTTTGAATGACAATTACGTGGTCATGCAACACTGTACCCAAATGAAATTTTTATCATTTTTTTGTGACAGTTTTATTTTGGTGGTATTTAATCACCTCTGGGTTTATTTTTTCTTAAACCAAAAACCACTACAAAATTTTATAACAAACTAAACTTTTTTTTTTCAAAATTTTCAAATAAGTGATTTTTCTCCTTCACTGATGTGCGCTAATGATAGGCTGCAGTGATGGACACTGATAGGTGGCACTGATGGGCATTGAAAGGCAGCACTCATGGCACTGACAGGCGGCACTGACTGGCACAGATGTGGCACTGAAATGTGGCACTGATGGGCACTGGCAGGTGGCATGGATGAGCACAGAGCTGGCACTGATGGACACCGATAGGTGGCGCTGCTGGGGCTACACAGATCATCAGGGCACACTGATCATCAGTGCTCTGATGATCTGTGTAGATGTCCCCTCCGAGGAATGCCGATTACCGGCTCTCTTCTCTCGAGCTGTCAGCGTGACAGCTCATGAGGAGAGAAATGCCGATAACCCGCATTTCCCCGTTTACATGTGATCAGCTGTGGTTGGACACAGCTGATCACACGACGAAGCAGACATCTTCAGCTCTTTCCGTAGATCGGTGATCCGCTGTGTCCGAGGGACACAACGCACCGCCGATTGCCACGCGCTCCCGGAGCGGGCGGGAGGCTATTAACCCTCTTGGGCATGGAGTTCACCAGAGCTTAACAAGTTGCCACTGGAGTCCTCTTCCACTCCTCCATGACGACATCACAGAGCTGGTGGATGTTAGAGACCTCAATAGGGTTTAGGTCTGAGGACATGATTGGCCAGTCCATCACCTTTACCCTCAGCTTCTTTAGCAAGGCAGTGGTAGTCTTGGAGGTGTGTTTGCGGTCGTTCTGTTGGAATACTGCCCTGCGGCCCAGTCTACGAAGATAGGGGGATTATGCTCTTCTTCAGCATGTCACAGTACATGTTGGCATTCATGGTTCCCTCAAAGAACTGTAGCTCCCCAGTGCCCGGCAGCACTCATGCAGCCCCAAACCATGACATTCCGACCACCATGCACGACTGTAGGCAAGACACACTTGTCTGTGTACTCCTCACCTGGTTGCCGCCACACACGCTTGACACCATCTGAACCAAATAAGTTTATCTTGGTCTCATCAGACCACAGGACATGGTTCCAGTAATCCACGTCCTTAGTCTGTCTTCAGCAAACTGTTTGCAGGCTTTCTTGTGCATCATCTTTAGAAGAGGCTTCTTTCTGGGACGACAGCCATGCAGACCAATTTGATGCAGTGTGCAGCATATGGTCTGAGCACTGACAGGCTGATCCCCCCCCCTTCAACCTCTGCAGCAATGCTGGCAGCACTCATATGTCTATTTCCCAAAGACAACCTCTGGATAGGATGCTGAGCACGTGCACTCAACTTCTCAACTTCTTTGGTCGACCGTGGCGAGGCCTGTTCTGAGTGGAACCTGTCCGGTTAAAACCGCTGTATGGTCTTGGCCACCATGCCGCAGCTCAGTTTCAGGATCTTGGCCACCATGCCGCAGCTCAGTTTCAGGATCTTGGCCACCATGCCGCAGCTCAGTTTCAGGATCTTGGCCACCGTGCTGCAGCTCAGTTTCAGGATCTTGGCAATCTTCTTACAGCCCTAGGCCATCTTTATGTAGAGCAACAATTCTTTTTTTCAGACCCTTGGAGAGTTCTTTGCCATGAGGTGCCATGTTGAACTTCCATATAAAACATTTTCTCATAAAATAAACCTGTATCAAATACCCAATCATAAGTGTCCCAAATGTCCTCAATCACAATAGATTTCCAAAAAAAATTAAGATTCAGTCTCCATATAATAAAGTCTTTTCTTCCTCCAAAATAAATGTATCTCTTTACTTTAGTCCCACTCTGGTGGTGGCACAGGCGCTGGGCTTACAAGCATGAGGTTGTGAGTTCAAGTCCCCACACTGCTGTGTGGTGACCTTGTAGGAGGGCTTAAGTCCATGCTCCATCTCTAAGTTTCCCTTTGCGGTTGAAAAGTCTATGTGCAAATATTGAGTAACAATAATAAAATAAGTGCAACTTTTAGGGACACGTGATGTCTGACGCACCCACGCTGAATCGGAGGTGCGATTGTGGCCATTTTAAAAGTGGGAACATGTGGTTGTTTCCATGATAATACAAACAATTGAGCTGTCTCTGCTACTGGGAGTGGTTATCTTCATATTTTAATGTAAATTGCTTAATAAAGGTTAGTATATTTATTACATCATCATCTCTAAATCCCTGATTTATTCCATGAGGAGAAACTACAGGAATAAACTTGGACCCTGGAGAATGTTTTCATCCTTTGTTTGAGAAATGCCCTTTGATACTGATATAGGGTAATTATTCACTGTTACACCAGTTGGAGTGGAACACTTTAACTTATATCTTTGTTTGCACAAATGAATAAGGAACGTTTTGGATAGAGTTGGTTTGGTAGTTTGATCACGGTTTGATATGAAGTGTGGATTTTTACACTATATTGGAGTGAATCACTGTTTATTGTTTGCAGTTGGAGTGTTCACAATTGGAGTGTATTCACGTTTATTTACTTATTTTTAAATTGATATTATATATATATTTTTTTATTTTTTTTTTTTCCCCCCACCTTCACGTGTGTTTTGCACATGTTATGCAGTTTTTTTTGCATTATTCACGATTAGTGGCAAGTGAATTTATAAAGGGTAATACACTATTTTGAATTTATTTTTTTTGAGGTACAAGAAAATCTGGATACATCACGGTGACTAAAGTAAAGAGATACATTTATTTTGGAGGAAGAAAAGACTTTATTATATGGAGACTGAATCTTACATTGTTTTTGGGAATATATTGTGATTGACGACATTTGGGACACTTATGATTGGGTATTTGATATAGGTTTATTTTATAAGAAAAGGTTTATATTCATGTTTGCTTTCAAGGGTGAAAGTGATGGACTTTTCTTTTAGGGTGTAGTAACTATTGGTATAGGTAGTTTGGTGCTGATAGATCGATTCATGTTGAACTTCCAGTTACCAGTATGAGAGCGATAATACCAAAATTTAAACACCCGCTCCCCATTCACACCTGAGACTTTGTAACACTAACGAGTCACATGACACCAGGGAGGGAAAATGGCTAACTGGGCACAATTTGGCCATTTTTCACTTAGGGTGTACTCACTTTTGTTGCCAGCGGTTTAGACATTAATGGCTGTGTATGGAGTTATTTTGAGGGGACAGCAAATCTACACTGTTATACAAGCTGTACACTCACTACTTTACATTGTAGCAAAGTGTCATTTCTTCAGTGTTGTCACATGAAAAGATATAAAAAAAGTATTTACAAAAATGTGAGGGGTGGACTCACTTCTGTGAGATACTGTATATATGGAAAACATTGCCATGTCTCAAAGATGTTGCAGAAACCGAAATGTGTGCATACAGTGGTATTCAACATAGTGCAAGAGGCCCAAAGATGAGAATATATCACCTCTGTACAGCACAATTACACAGATGCAGAAGTCTGAACTATAGGAAACCATTCTTTGTAGTATGCTGCTTAAAGTGGCAGTAAACTCAGTTTTGATTTTTACCCACAGGTAAGCTTATAATAAAGCTTACCTGTAGGTGAAATGAATCTCTTAAACATTTACCATTTAGGAGATTCTAGTAAGCGGCAGTTGGTGACGTCAACGATGCATTCGCTCTGAAGGACCGGCATGCCAATGCTTCAGCATGGCTCAGTCATTCAAGTGGCCACAGACCACGAACCTGAAAGGAAGATCGGGTGAAGATGGAAGCCTCTGTAGCTTTATGGTGTGTTCCAGCATGTTGCCTTTACTATTGAATACATTTGTAAAATAGATTTTATAGAACACAAAATGTAATAACTCTAAAAGAATCAAAATAAAAACAGTTTCTAAAGTCTAGGTTGATTCAATGCACCTCAGACCTGTACAAATACAAATGAATGAATATGCCACTTGCCATATAAATTGATTAAAAAAAAAAATTATTAAATTCTATCCCGCATTGCTGCATCTCCACAACCTCTATCACAATAGTCAGCAAGCTGATACAATCAACAATGCTCCATCAGATGCCCAGTTATAAAGTCTCAAATTTTAAGCTCAGCATTACAAAATACTGAAAGTGAGGAAAAGTTTAGTATTACCAACCTATAGAAGGAGATTTGAAAGGATATTTATCAGGAAGGTCCACTCTAACTTTCCACACGCCACCTTCATATGGTGCTGACATAAAATTTAAAAAGAAAAGTTAAAGCACAATGACTATATAAAGGTAACCATAAGTTAGGTAGAAATGTGGACTTTCCTGCACATATTGTAAACACCCAATAACAATTTTACATTCAATGATCATCACAAAACTTTTTGGGCAGCTGCATGCTCTCACCAAGAACTAGATTTAATTTTGTGCAACCACCAACTGCATTGAAATACACCCTGGCATCACAACTATGCGTTTTGGTAAATCTCATTACTACAACACTTGGCACCGACCTGTACTGTAGAGAATTGCTACATACATACCAAGCATTGTGGTTAACCGTGTAAAAAAAAAAAAAAAAAATCCAGGTAGTTTTTCTTAGCGAGACGTAACTATCCCCCCCACCGCAAAACCTTTTTCACTCGGTAGTAAAGCTCAGCAATCTGGCAGTATTCTGTTGGGATCCACTTTGTAACTACTGTATACTGGGTCTCATTCTACCATCTTCATCTGCGACATAAGTAGGTGGCTGTTTCCTCTGGGTTCTTTCAGCTGTCTGCAAGTATTAGGGAAAGACAGCCAGCTCACACCATGGCACACCACCATGTATGTGCAATAGGATATTCTGCGGCCTACTGGGAAGCATGATGTGGGTTTGACAAGGTGAAATGTTATTCTCGCGTAAGCAAGAACCTAGCAAGTAGATGGAGAATTCTTCCAAAAAAGGAAAAAAATAGAAAAAAAAAAAATAAATAAAATCAGCCGTATGTTGTTTTGAGAAGTGAGGGACAAGGATAAGAAGAGTGGAAATGACTAGGGAGGGTGAAGGTCTGCTTTAAGTTGCAGTGTTTTGGCAGCCTATTCTAAAAGAACGGACGGTCTCAACATCCCAAATACAGAATGTTAACAAGCATGTGATAATGCAGCGCAATGGAACACCAAAGAGTGCGGACCAGAAAGTACTTTACTGGTACCTGGGCTGGAGAGAAAAAAAAAACATTCCCACACATTACCTAAATGTTTCTGGCAAGGCACATTACACCAAGCGTTCAGAACATACCTTGTAATCTGAACGTATAAATTGGAGTGTTATTGTTTCCCAATTAGTCTCACTGTACCGATTTTATATTTAGCTAATCACAAATTTTGGGTATTGCTTTCACGCAATAATATGGTTTGCTTATGTAATACACTGATGGTGACATTGCCCACAGTCTTGTTACACCTACAAATATTTGGATTGTGTCAAATGACAAAAGGGAGACCGAAAAACTGGGAATTTGTATGGTGGACATATGACAAGAAAAGGGTCAGCACTGAATTTAACATACAAATATGGCTTCAAGTGGCTTGCCAATGCAGATAGATCCAGCTGTTTGCTGCCTGGCTCTGTTCTTATATTCCCGGCTGTAAGTATACAAGTCTGCTAGCATAGCAGATTCTTCCAAACTACCATATCACTGCGCAGCAGGATGGCAGCCAACATGCTGGTCTGAAGGACTGTCAGGAAGGTTTTCTAGAAGGCTGAACTGACCCGATGGTGTTACATTACGATGGGAGGTCAGATGGAGTGCAAATATAGGGTGGCACTCCTCGCACTCTGCTGCAATTAACCAAACAATGCTAAGTCAATATCTACACTGACAGAGTCAAGTGGCAGCTGTTCTTGGGTTCAGCTTTCTCCAACTTTCCCACAATGTGGTCCTGAGTGAAGGTCTTTAAATAAAGATATAGGAAATTAATGAACTACTGTCTCCTTATAGATTGCTGGGAGCAACACTAGAATGATGGCCACATTAGGCAATCTAAGGTCATAATATGTTAACTCCAAGGCTGTCATGTGTATGGCCTTTAAAACCTAGGTAACACTTAAAGCGTGACTCCACCTAGTTTTGTATTTTGCCATAAATTAAAGTATGCAAAAACATTCAGAATACAGGAGGTAATACTTACTTCCTTGTGGTCCATAAAACTTCACTATAAATTCATTTAGTCCTCCTAGGATTGTGACTTCATGTTTGCTTTCAAT